TCGGGGCTGGGGGGGCCGGGAGCAGCCACTGCACTCCAGTCTGGGCGACAGAGTAAGACTCCAACTCAAAAAAACCCAACAATTTTTATTGTAGAGACGAGGTCTCGCCAAGTTGCCCTGTCTGGTCTTGAACCTGCGGGCTCAGGCAATCCACTTGCCTCGGCCTCCCAAAGTGCTGAGAGCCACCGAGCCCGGCCTTTCCTCTATATTTTTATCCTTCATTCAGCAAAAATGTACTGTCTTCTACATACCAAGCACCATGCTAGGTCATGGAAAATAAATGCAATCAAGCTCTAATTGCATCCTGAGCTAAAATACCAACACGGGAGTCTGGCCAATTCTTTGTGAATAGAGAGAAATCCAATTTGACTGAAGCACTAAGTGTACATAGGAAAGGTCATTTAGGGCCAGTTCATAAACAGTCTTGATCAACAAGCTGCAATATAATGTGAAATCAAGAAAACACCTTCTTCTACGGTTAACATCTAAGGCGATTCCATACGGTCTTTAGTTTCCTCTTATTCTTCCCTCTGCCAGACACCCTTTTACCTGCCCCGCAATGGGGATGCTAACTGTTCTCCCCTCTCCCCTGCTCGTTTCCACCTTCCATCCATGCTCCTGCATCCATACCCTTACCTGAAGCTACTTTTCCTTCCCTTCCCCCATGCTCTCCCTCCGTGTTTCCTAAAAAAGCTGGGCCTGGATTCCAATCTAAGTCCCAAGCAGGTCTGGGTAAGCACCTTTGTCTACAGAGGAGAAACTGAGGCCCATGGAAGCAGCAATTAGAGAAACAAGAGGCCCTCGCAGATCTAACTTCCCAGGGGCAAAGGGGCCTCTTTTACCCAACACTGAGGACTCCGAGGAGGCGAAAAACTCTACCAAGCGGGCTCACGCCCCCTTTTATTTGTCTTATCGTCACCCTGACAGCTTTTGGAAAGACCGGCTCTCGCTTAGATGTCACCTTTCCAAGAACCCTTCCCGGCCACCCGGCCAGCGGACCTGCGCTCTCAGGACGCGCTGTCTATTTTGCTCCCAGCGCCTGCCCGACGAGGGTCCCCTAAGATCACCGCGAGCGTCCCGGGGTGGGGGCCTCGCTCGCCGCCGGG